CCCCGTGGTGGCACCAATGTATATGGACAATACACGGCAGAGGTCTAGGTACACAGTCCCTAGGTAATATCTACAGTGTCCTTTGTTGCAATGTCCAGGAAGATGGTTGAGCCATCTCCATCAGTTAAAAAAAGTAAAATAATCATGAATTAGGTGTGGCCTAGATAAAGACTAGAAATGAGGAGAAATAGAAACAAGGGTGTATATGTATAGGACTTCTTTAGTCACTTAGTACACAAACAATATATAAAAAAGAAAAGCAAAATAAAAAATCAAAACAAAATAACAACAGCAAAAAAAGTGAGAAATCTTGGTGAAATGTTAATGAATTAAGGAGTCCTTTCCACCGTGGTAGATAAGATAATCAGTGAGCATGGGATTGTCCCTTCTTGGGTGATGGGCATGGGTGGGCTAGGGGCTGTGGCTGGTTGGTGACACAGCTAAATACATCCACTGGGCCTGGCTGGCCTGGGCTTGTGGATCGGAACTGGATGATGGGCCTTGATGGCCATTGATGAAGAAGGGAACTAAACAGGGCTGGGAAGGCCAGGTAGCCTGGGTGATGGGCTAGTGGCAAATCTCCAGGCCTAGTAGGAAGATCAGTGGTTTAGGTAGGAGACCTGGGTGGTAGGGGACTTGGATATGGGTGGCCAAGGGGCTTGGTTGTGTGCTGAACTAATGCTAGATCTGGTGTTTACCATGGACCTGGGGAACTTGTAGGTGATGGACCAGGTGGGACAGGTGAGTGGTAGCGGCCTCTTGAGTATCAGAAACCAGGCAGCTGCTGGACCTGGTTGGTTTTAGGGACCCAGAGAGCTTGGAGGGCTCTAGGAACTGGGCTGGTGCTGGAACCCAGAAGAGAATGGCCTGAGTGGGCCCCAGGAACTCAGATGGCACTGGACTGGCAGTCTCTGGGGCCCACTGCTTGGATTGCTTGCCTGGTTATTCTTTGTGAGTCACAGGACTCACAGGGTTGGGGAGAGTTGGGGGTCTCTCAAGCATCTCCAACTTGTATTCTTCTGGACAAAATGCTCTCAGTTTCTGATTTTTTCATGTTTTTTCAGGCTAGTTAAGCCTTTGCTGAGCTCACAAAGTTTCATGTGGACCTTGCTATGGACTCACAGGACTGGGTTTCCAATACCCATTGTTTCCTTGGAACTTACGATGGTTTACTTATCTCAAGCAAACCATCTTAAGTTCCCATCTGTTTCTATAGTGAGTTTAATTTATGGCTCTCCCAGTCCTCAGAGTATGTATTATTGAGTTGTCTTGTTATTTTCTGCTTCGACCTCCTATTAATCTTCACCAAGGAAGAGATAAGTTCTATCCCAAGAATTTTATTCCACATCTTTATTTTCCTTCTCTTATCTCCATAAATCAATGCAAAATAATTTTTTCAGCATTTACTTCTCTGACCTGAGATAGTGAGAAAGAATAATATACACTGAAATGCTTTTTTATTCAGAAGGCGCTGTTGTTTCTTCACACTGTATAATTATGAAGAGTGTTCAAACTCACATTTCTAGCAAAAGTCTAATAGTGTTTTATTTTTTTTACAGACGTATTTTGTCTCAGTTTTGATCTCCCAAAAGTAATCCAGTGGTGCTCTGGCTATGGGGGGAGGCGTCTCAAGCTGGATCAAAGACCAGGGGCTTTGATTGCTTAATTTTACAACCAACTGGTAAGAGTAGTGACTGCCCCTTCCTGGCTTCCAAAGGTCCCATGGTGTCCTCTCTCCAAAAAGAAAGGGGATGTTAGTGGAGAGGTGACGGTGTACTTGATCTGGGTGATGACAAGAAATGACATCTGCCCTTTCATGTACCCAATATCCACCACGAAGTAAGGTTGCAAATTATAGTATTTACAGGACAGTGTCCATGGTGCACCTGAGAAAGCAGCTATGTCCCCTTCCTCCCTCCAGCCAGTGTCTCTCCACAAACAGGCTCCAGAATCCCAAGGTGCTGTGGGTCTGCTTTCCTCACCGCTGACCAGGGTGCACCGACTTTGGGATTGTTCAATAGTCTCTGACCCCTGATCGATGGCATCTATCTCTGTGTTGTCCATGACTCGGAAAGTGGCAGAATGTAAAATATTTAAGTGATGGCTCCTTGGTCAGGGCAGAAAAGGAGGTCTCTACTGGGTTACAGTACCCTGGAAAGGACCTCACACCCTTAGCTCTAAGGACCCTGGGGATAAGTTTTTAAGAAATAGATTTCCATTCTCATTTGTTCTCCACTTAGGTTTCTTCTGTAATCTGCCCACTTAGACTGGGACCTCCCTAACTGGGAACTGTCCCTGAACTTCTTTTGCACATTATTCTCTTTGGATTTGTGTCATCATATTCATAACCTCCAGTTTGAGAAGAGCTTTTTTCCACTAGGGTTTAAGTCATGACCTGGGGCTTGGCCCATCAGGGCAGCCAGGAGCTGCTGCATCCCCTCTCTCCCCAGAGCTTAGGAGGGGTTCTGGGATTATCCTGGTGATGGACAGGCCTTCTGTTTGCACCCTGATCTTGTAGTTGGACTAGTCTTGACAGGTTTGAGTGGGGTGAGGCCCAGCTGGGAGGGGAAAGGCTCATAGGATTCCTTTTAACTTGCTTTTATGAAATGTTCACATTTGCAGGATGTTTTCTAACAAACCTGATATATTAGCACAAAAGTAGCAACATTGCATTCTTTATAAAATATCTACGTGTGAACATGGAGGGCACTGTGGCTCTCACTGATATACATGTGTGTGACCTGAACAGTGTGCACACAGCCAGCTGCTTCTCTGCCTGCTGTGTCCTGATGCTGCAAGTAACCAATGCCTGTGACAGGGGACACATGGCAGCATCCAACTCTGCCACTTCCCATGATCAGAACTTTACTAAAATTATAAGGTTTTCCAGCTGTAACTGGGAAATTTCTTCTATAGAAAAAAAAAAGAGTAATTTTTCATTTGTTTTCAGGCAATGCTCCCCAGAAAACCCAATACTCTACCTGTGTTTGCAAGTCCATGGTTCCTTCTGGTTCAATCCCTCCCTCCCATGATGATGCAGGCAGGGTAGCCATCCCCCTGGCAGGGCTAAAACCAGAGAATCCTGTGCCCTCTGTCCACAGATAACTCAGACGGACTCCTCCTTCTGTTTTCCATTCCTGTGCATTTTATTTTCTTAATTTTATTAAAAGAGAAACCTGCATTATATAACCCAACAGAAGAGACTCAGAGTTATTTTATTTCCTATCATTTGTAAATGGCACCTTCACATAGTATATATCGAATTTTTGCTGTTATAAAGGACTTTAGGAATCAAAGTCCCCATGTCTGTCTCATAACTTACTGCCAGGTTGCACAGAGGAATAGACAGAATCTACTCACAGCCACCCAAAAGACAGAGAAGCCTCAGGAAACTGCCTATTAATAACAATCTGTGACTCTTGGAATGTGGAGACTCCTAGACCCTATATTAGCATTTTTCTTTTGTTTTCTTGAGCACACTAAGGGAGGGAATCTTTATTGCTGAAGATGTGAATGGAGGAAAAATGTTCTTACTCACTTAATCATATAGAAGAGGTTATTTTTTCTAATGGAACTAATGAATTTCCATTTTATACAACTATACTTCTTCAAAGACTTCAAAGAAATTATTGAACTAGGCTTGAGACACTTAAATTGCTTGGGCTCCTTGTCATTTCTGTGCACTTTTTAGTAACTGATGTGATAACACTGTGATTTTCTAGGTAGAGGTGAATATAATTTATTCTCTTACCCACTAGTTTTTCTGATGACAAAATGTAGGGCCAGGTGGCTAATCTCGTTGTCAATGTGACTTATGTCACAGCTCTACAACAGAATTAAAACTGAAATAAAGAAACTTCCTTCAGTTTATAGGGAGATTTTCCACGAGGATGTCGCCAGCCAATTCTCTAGTCCAGTTTTTCTTCTCTCTTCTGGGGAGAAATATCATTGCTTACTTAAAGAAGACAGGAAATCTGGCTCACTATGTCAACTCCTTTATCAGAGTGAGGTGAATTCCTGTCTCTTAATGAAGTCCCCCAAAGTACTTAAATTTCACTGGTGTGGTGGTGCCAGCCTGTAATCCCAGGGATTTGGGGAGCTGATGCAGAAGGGTTGCAGGTTCAAGACCAACTTCATCAACTTAGTGAGGTCCTATGCAACTTAGAGACACTCTGTGTCAAAATAAAAATAAAAAGCATTGGGGGTGTGGTTCATGCTGGGTTTCACACTAAAATTTTTCCATGTGCCAAAGAATAAACAAAAAATAAATTTTACAATATGATCCTGCTAATAACTGATGGTTCTGCTCACTTAGATGTGGTTTTTCTGGCATAATAAAATATCCTAAGTGGTTAAGCAAACCTGGTTCAATATCCAGTACCAAAAATTACATATTAATAAACAAATGCAAGAAGCCTGTTTTCAGAGGAAACATTTTAATATTTTGATATTTTGTCTGTAACCGGTTGATGAGCAACCCAGAATAGAGGACACTGGAAGTACAGAGCTGTATGAGATGGTCCCCTTGACACCCTTACCTTGAGAGGTCTATGTGGGTGTTCCTGCAGTCTGTCGTACTGGAGTCCCCTTCAAATGCCACATACTCAGCTTTTGGTCAGGTGGCTGCACGTGCCCAGGCACATCCATGGTGGCCCTGGCTATGAAAGCAAAGAGACCCATGGGAGATGCTGTGCCTCAGCACTGAGAGGTCTGGAGATGGGGTGTCAAGGGGACCCACACATTTTGAAGCGGGAAATATTGGGGGTCGGATGTTGAAGCTGGTAGTGGCGGTGAGGAGGAGTTGACCTTTTTTTCATTCTAAGGCATTGACCATCTGATTCTTCTCCCCAGAAAAAAAAATGACTTAAAGCAGCACACTTTATATTTTTCTTGCTGTAAGAAATGCCTTTTGTTTCCAAATTGTCATTGGGATCACAGCCAACGTCTTCCTGAACCTCTTCCACGTCCTCACATTTCTTCTCCAGTGCAGGACCAGGCCCATGGACGTGGCCATCGCTCTCCTGGCCCTGATTCACCTGCTGATGTGCATAATCAGGACGCACCTGGATCTAGGCATTTGGGAGTTTCAGGACTTTTGGAACAACATCACATGTAAAGCCTTCATCTACCTGTACAGGCTGATGAGAAGCTTGTTGGTCAGCACCACCTGCCTGCTGAGTGTCCTGCAGGCAACCACCCTCAGCCCCAGAAGTTTCTTTCTGGCCAAGTCCAAGCACACGTCCCCACAGTGCAGTGTGTGGACCTTGCTCACTCTCTGGGTGTTTAACGTGTTCTTCAATGTCCACATCTTAGTCTCCATGGGAGACTTTACAATGACACAGCAGCTTACCAGTTTGTCTCTGAGTCCTGCAATGTTGCCCCCACAGGTCACCACTTCAGGATCTTCTCCCTGATGGGAATACTCCGGGACATCTTCCTCATGGGGCTCATGGCCCTCTCCAGTGGGTACATGGTGGCTCTCCTGTGCAGGCATAAGAGGCAGTGCCAGCACATTCAGAGCACCAGCCTGTCCCCAAGAGCCTCCCCAGAACTGAGGGCCATCAGGACCATCCTGTTGCTCATGGGACTCTTTGTGCTCAAGTACTTTGTGGACTGTGTGTTCTCCTCCTCTTCGAGACAGAAGCACAAGGACAATCCCACTCGCCTGGGGGTCCAGATGCTGGTGGGTAATGGCTATGCTACCCTCAGTGCCTTGATACTCATCTGTGCTGATCAACAGACACTCGGGTTCTTCTAGTGCACATTAGAAAAGGAGAGGAAATATTTATGCCAGGCTGGGCGACCTGTCATTTAGTCGTCCCTCATCATTTATTTTTAAATGTCCACAAACGTTTTTATGTTGAAAAAAAAAAAAACAGAATGACGTTGATGGAGGTGTAACCTAAACATTTGCTCTTTGTGAAGATGCTAAATCAACCTGGGCACAATTGTCATCCCAGCAACATGGGAGGCT